GTGCTGCTCCGAGTCACCGTTGGCTGGGGAGATGGCTGATACCCGCATGCAGTAGGGAGAGCCACCCTCATAGAATGAATGAATAGATAAAATAAATAAATAGAAGAAGGTGGCTGAGTTTGGTGAGAACAGGCAGCTAATTAATGCCAGCACCTCTGTTAAATTACATTTAATTTAATTAGGCAGTGCCCCAGTGCACCCCAAGAAATTAAAATGCCCCCTGACGTAGAAATTCCTATGGCTATGGGCCTGGGGTGTTCAGTCTTTCATGGGGGGGCCTCAAGGGAGGAGGAGGAATAGGCTGGGCTGAGACAGAAGGATCCGATGAGGCTTGATGACAAATTTGGGGTTTCTTCTGCATCATGTGCAATGTGGTCATGAAAGAGAGCATCTTTGTCAGTACTGCTGTATACTTAGAAATACTAAAAATGAAAAACGAAGCATAAACTTGTTCAGCATTAACCGATGGAAGATTTTTGCATGTTATTTCAGGGAAAGGAAAGTAGTGTAGAGGAAGTTTCTCAGAATTGGATCTCACTTCGGAATGTTTGAGACTGGGGCATTTGCCAAAGGTCTCGTAGAGACCATGGCTTTTGAGTATGGATTTGAAGGCAGAGATGGAAGGCAGTGCCGGTATTTGGGGAGGGACTTCCAGGCATAAAGGGCAGAAATGGTGGCAGCATAATCCTGCACCACAACGGTGCATTCATAAGCAGAGTTACGTCTGTAATGGATTGCCGACGCATGAGGGAAGCATTCTCTTTAAAACAGACACGTGGAAACAAAGAGTCTCTCTGGCTGTTCCAAAGCAGTACCTTAACCGCTAAATCACGGGGCTGTATAGAGAAGATTGTTCTCTCCTATAATCATCTCTACAGGTTATCAGCCCTGTGGCTGAAGCGAAGTCAGAAGTTTGTTGACACCAGGTGTCCGGTGAAAATCTTGTATCCCAGCCAAAGATCACTCACATTACCTTGTAAGATTTTTATTTGAAATCAGTCTAACCACTCTTGAAACAATTAAATATGAAATAATCACAATGATACAAAAATACTTCAGTATGTTAATGACATCAGAAACAGAAAGACATGCATACCATCTCTTACCTATCTAAAATTTAAAAGATTAAACACAGTTACTGAGATTCTCACCAAAGGGCTTTCAGAAAGGTTAGATAGTCTCATACAACCCTCATCTGAGAGACTGAGGGGTGTTTAGGGGGTGGCTTATAGGTCCACTCACGTGGCTTCAAAAGGGAATTAGATAAGCATATGGAGCAGAGGTCCATCAGTGGCTATTAGCCACAAGGTATAGATAGGGACTCTGGGGCAAGTGATGCTCTGTCTTCTTGGTGCTTGGGGGGGTCAACAGTGGGAGGGCTCCTAATGTCCTGGCCCCACTGGTGGACCTCCTGATGGCACTGGTATTCCTGGCCACTGTGTGGTACAGAGTGTTGGACTGGATGGGCCTTTGGCCTGATCCAACATTGGCGTCTGTTATGTTCTTATGTTCTATGACTCTATCAAAACCAATCAGTTCGCCTCAACCGAGTGTGTGATGTAAGCATGTCTGAGCTTAGAATGAACTTTCCCGTAGAAATGTTGCAAATTAGTTATTTGTTTGTTCTTTACAGTGTAAGATTTGATTCTGGGCATACATCCAGTTATTCAGAATTACCTTTCCAAGGATGTGACGTAACAACTTTGTTAAAATGGCAAAAGTGAATTCTCAGGCCTGATTTGTTCAGTCACCTAAGCAATTAACAATCAGCCCATTGACTTCGGTGGATTTAGAAGGTTGACTCTGTTTAGGATTGTACTGTAAGACATCTTCAGACGGCTGGGAGTGGTAGAGCTGATGGGACTTCAGGATCCCAAACAAATTCAAAAACAGGGATGTATGAAGCAGGTTCAAACCCCTGCTTTGCGCCTTTTCTAGTACTTTTTTCACTCCTTCCCTGATTTCCCTTTAGTATTGCCAACTTCCAGTTCCACTTTTAACTTCTTTCAGTTAATCTGCCCTCTTCCCCCTTTTCTTTGAAACAAAATCTTTGTGTGGTATTAACATAGTGCCTTTTTTGAGAGTGTAGTGGTTAAGTGTGCGGACTCTAATCTGGGAGAACCGGGTTTGATTCCCCACTCCTCCGCTTGCACCTGCTGATGTGACCTTGGGTCAGTCACAAGCTCTGGCACAGCTGTCCTTGAAAAAGAGCAGTTTGTGTCAGAGTTCTCTCAGCCCCCCACTCCTCCGCTTGCACCTGCTGATGTGACCTTGGGTCAGTCACAAGCTCTGGCACAGCTGTTCTTGAGAAAGAGCAGTTTGTGTCAGAGTTCTCTCAGCCCCACCCATCTCACAGGGTGTCTGTTGTGGGGAGGGGAAGGGAAAGGAGTTTGTAAGCCACTCTGACACTCCAAGTGAAGGGCGGGGTATAAATCCAATCTCTTCTTCTTCTTTATTGTTCATTTCGAAACTCAGCATCATTCACATTTTGAATTGAATTTGCTTGTTGTTCCATCCTTTTCTTTCCTCACACATGGCCACACATGAAGTTTCCTTAGACTGAATCAGACCCTTGGTCCATCAAGGTCAGTATTGTCTACTCAGGTTGGCAGCGGCTCGCCAGGGTCTCAGACTGAGGTCTCCTGCCTGGTCCTTTTAAGTGGAAAGGTCAGGATTGAACCTGAGACCTTCTGTGGGCCATGCAGAGGCTTTTCCTCAGCCCCTCCTAGGTTTGTATTGTGAACTGTCTTGGCCCCCAGACAAACACAATCATACCACAATGTGATACTAGCAGTTACTCCCCCCACCCCAGAAATGGGAAAGATCACCTGGAGTCTTTATACCAATAACACCCTTTTTAAAAAAAACAAAAAAAAAACCTGTTCTCATGTGTGGTTTGTGCCACCTTCTCAGCCTTCTGACCAAGCTGCAGTATGCTCCGTTCAGTGTTATCTGCCAAATCCAGTATTTTGTATGCAACTTGGTGTCTCAAGAGGCCTTGGCTTTCATCTCACCCCTTTGTTCAGCAGACTCTGAAACCTTCCTCCTCGGCCTAAGAAGCCACCCTCCCATGGAAGATCTGGTTCCGCCAGAAGAAGGGCCTTAGGCTAGGGAGAGGCTTCAGACTTTGCCGAGCGGAGTAGTCCCCTGTGTTTTTAAACAAATTTGTATCCTGGGTTACAGAAGGAAACTTTGGAAACACAATATTTGAAGACAGCGACCAATTCCGCAAAAGCAGTTGTTCCGCCCTCAGTCTCCCGTTTTCCCCGGTTGTACTGATCAGTTTCCCACTATTTGCTACACGGCCACATTTTGACCTAAATCTCCCCCCGATTTTGCCCCATCTTCTTGATCCTAAGGTAATCGGGGGGGGGGGGGGGGGAAGAAGCAGGTCAAAATGTGGCCGCACAGTAAATAGTGGGAAATTGAGCAGTACAACCAGGGGAAACAGGAGACCAAGGGAGGAACAAATGCTTTTATGGAATCAGTCAGGGTTTCACATTTATCACTGCATGGGAGCGACAATAGTACAGCAGCATCCTGCAGTAGCGTTTCCCCAATTTCTAACCCGGTGTGGGAAGGAGCCACACTGCAGCTGTTTTCTTGCTGCAATGATGACATTATGAGGGGCCCATACAGAACAGGGATTGAACCAGATCTCCAATAGTAGCCGGAATTTCAGTGCCTTACGTGCACCCTTCTTTGTGGAAATTGCACTGAAATCAGTGATACCAAATAGCATATTAATTGTTGGGATCTGCTACTGTTGTGTCTTCGGGGAAGGGGGTTTCTGTTGATGTATAAAAGACACTTCCCCCTACCGTGACATTGTTGTAGTCTCCTGTTTCAGAGAAAATACTGAGCAATAAAATGGGTATTTCGGTGACTTAGAAATACTAAAAATGAAAAATGAAGCATAAACTTGTTCAGCATTAACCGATGGAAGATTTTTGCCTTTTATTTCAGGGAAAGGAAAGTAGTGTAGAGGAAGTTTCTCGGAAGTGGATCTCACTTCAGAATGTTTGAGACTGGGGCATTTGCCAGAATATTGTACATATAGGTGTGTGTTTCTTTGGTTTGGTTAGGTAACCTTTTGGGAAACGGCTCTGCCCCCCCCCCCATTTTCATATCCGTCTTGTCTGTGTCTTCCACATGTCCTTCACTGACTATTGGTAGCATCTGAACGATCTACTGTGTTCATTACTGTTTAGTGCGCTGCTCTTTACCCAAAAGATGAGATGTGTATGTTAGATGATCCTCCTAAAGAAAGTTATACATAAAGTTTTTTTAATTACAGTACATAACTGTAACTTGTTTGTGAATGGCATACATCCATCAGGATTGGGAAGACTTGGTCTTCAAGAAAACAGTCTTCCTGCTGCTTCGCTTGCGTCATATTTCTCATCTTTATATTACTGGGATTTTTTTAACTTCCTTTCTATACAGACTGTCACCATACACAAGAAATTAATAGCTTAACAATGTAGGAGAGAAGACGACTTTTAAAATTCCTTAATTTCTTATCTTTGAAGTTTTATAGCTTGCGTCTTGCAAAACCCCAAGTCATTAAGTGCTAAATAGCTACGTTCTGGCTGTTCCAGAAATTACAATCCTTGAAAACTATTGTCACCTTCTTTAAATGTACTTTATCTTGATTCTAGCACATGCTGAAACTAATTAAATATTAGTGAACAGAGAGCAGAAATGGAATAAGACAACATCTCCCACATTTTATAAGCACTAATATGCGTTATCAGTGGTGCTGCTATTTTATATACTTAAAATAACATACAATTGTTTTGAATAATTGTCCAAGAGGAGACGTTAACTATATGTAGCCATAAATGGTTTTTAATTACTTCAGCCTAAAGTGATGGTGGTACTTACAAGGCTGGTTTTCATTTCAGTTTCTAATTGTTAATTTAGCAGTCAGTTTCGTAATAGTGTTGCTCAGAGCCTGAAAATTGTCCAACCGTGCTGTGCACGTCTTTTGTTTCAAGGAACAATTGGAGATTGGGAGCATCAAACTAAAGCAAACAGAGGAGGACAACAACTTTAAGGAGAAGGAACTTGAATCAGTTATTGCCGTCAAAGAAGATGAAATAAGGTTTCTCAAGAAACAGCTCAAAGAAATAAGCAAAGCACAAAATTGTACGCAGGTACTAAGATATGAAAAAGAGGTAAGATGATTTGTAGAAATACTTGCAAACTGTGACATGCATCAGTTGTCAATCGTAGGCAGTAAAAATTAGTTTAACCCATAAACTGAATTTAAGTGTAATTAAGCAATTAAATGCATATGCAGTCCTTCCCCCGTTATGTATTTTGAATGGTTTGTGAACCATAATTTTCAAATTATTTTGATACCCTTTTGCATTGAAATATCATTCTTTAAAGCAAATGCACAGTCTGCCTTTGCCTCTGTGTCCATCCTTGTGTTCCGAGACTGTAGTGACTTCAGCTGTCAGGAAACCTTTCAAGTACTGTGAAATATATATATCTATGTATGACACCAAAACCCACAAAAGGGTTATTGTAACAACTTTGTTTCTCAGTTAAAGGGCTTTGGATAAACGCCCATGTAATACAGGGCTAATCCACAAGGTGGCAGTCAAATATAATAACTTCTTTTAGTGTGTGATAGAAGGCATTTGATTGAGCCCTGACTGAGTTTATTGAAGAATGTGGTAGAGTCTCTTGGATGGGAACTCATATGATACTATGATCTGATACATAACATATATGGCAAGCAATATTAGTTCTGCGTCTGTACGTCGCTATGTGTATTGGAGTAGGATTTTATAATGTATGGCTAAAGTTTTGAATGAAAAGGGATGATTTTACACTGAATTCCTTTTGAGGATATTCTTTTTTTCCTTATTACAACAAATGACATGCAGAAGAAAGTGGTGCATTAGAACCTCTTGATGTTTCCAAGGGCACCGTGCACTTCACATAAGCCCTATACAAATGTGCTTACCCATTCCAAAATATCTAAATAATCCAGCTATGCTTTCTGCCCTTTCTTGCAGCTTAAAGAAAACAAGGCTTTGCTGTGCTAGATTTCTGGGAAACCTGTCTTCCCAACGACGGTTTAGGATTGCTATAGTTTCATTTGAATACAAAGCAAAAACTAGTACCGTCATTCTGTCGTTACCATATTAAATCTATTAATGTGTTCAGTTGTTTGGGATGAGCATCAGGTTTGTTAAAATGCACATTTTGCCCCCATTTCTTTACAGGCAAAAAGCGACAAACAGGCTTCATCTAGGCAGGAGTTCCCTCCGGGGCCCTGTGCCACGACTGTCTTTGAGAGGTACTTTGGAAAGTTGTCTCTTGGTTCATTTGTGGGGATGGTTTTGTAATAGGTACAAGTTGGATCTTGCGGAAGACCTCAGCTGATGGGAAGGGGTTTCCACCCATGGAGCAGACTTCCCTTGCTCCCCCCTCCTCTCACTGCACCCCAAAAAGCACCCAGAAATGCTGCTCTGGTGGGACTCCCAGGCATGGTATATGAGGGGAATCGGGGTCCGCAACAGGAAGGGGCAGTTGGCACAAAACGCCCTCCTTCCTTCCTTCCAGCAAAAATTTCCACTGGCCTCAAGCCTAGGCAGTGTTTATGCTGGTTTGTAATTTATGCCTCCCTTTCTGCCCCAGCGTTTCTTCATTCTTGCCCCCAAGACTTAAATTAGTAGGTCTCCCCCAGCCAACCCCCCCCCTTCAGTTCTCATTGCCTTCTTACGGCGCATAGATCTGGCTGACGTTCAGGGGCTCCTGTCCCTGAGAAGGGCACCTCAGGTGTGGCCATTGTTGGTACCAATCAGGCTGCTGGTGTAACTGGAGAAGCTGCGCCTGGAAAGTTTTCTAACCTGTGTTGCAATTAAAGGTACAGGACGGAGAGCCCCATCCCGAAAGCTCACTGTGTTTAAATTATGTCTCTGGCTTTCCTGTCTAAACCAGTTCTGGCAGTGTACTTGCTGGCTGGCATCTGAGTTAACTACTGAATGGACACTGGCTGATTGACCTCTGAATTTTTAGGGATGAACTTGAGACCGTTTTCTGGGGACTGAAGGAAGAATTTCATCGCATACGTACGCTAGCGAGGACACAGACGGACCAGCTGAGTAAATTTAAGCTACGGAGAGAACCTGTGACTGGTATCGCTTTATGGCAGCTCTTATTGTGATAACATAGCTTTTCGGCTAAAAGTTGTGCTTTGTTTTGGAGGATGCCCTTATGCCCTGTGTCCTTCTGAAGCTCTTGAAGGCCTCCCCTGCCTGTCTTGTGTTTCATTACATGCTGTTCTTTTGGTTAGGGCTTTGCCTACGCGGCAATCTCCATTCCTGTGTATGCTGAAGGGGGGGGGATGTGTGCACTGTCACTTGTCAAGTGCATTCGCTTCGTGGCTTGGTTTGGGAAGCTGTTACTTGGATTCACATTGGATTGGACAGGAGTAAACAGCTCCGGCCTTGCTTCGAAACTGAGTGGTGCTCCTGTATCTCTCCCCCCTCCCCAGTACAATGATCAGAAGAGGGGGGGAAATGTAATGACTCCCCTATTTGCTAATTGGTGGGAGGTGCTGTCAAGTCACAGCCATCTTCTAGTGACCCCATCGGGTTTTCAAAGCAAGAGTTGAACAGAGGTCGTTTGCCATTGCCTGCCTCTGCGTAGTAACCCGGGACTTCTTGGTGGCCTCCCATCCAAGTACTAACCAGGACGGACCCTGCTCAGCTTGTGTGATCTGACGAGATCAGGTTAGCCTGGGACATCTAGATCAGGGCATTTGGTTAATTAGGTAGAAACAAAAATAATAATAATAATAAATTCGGTGTTTCAAGACAGGTTCTGTTGATTCTGTAGAACAGAAGATGATAGAGTTAGCTAGACAATTTGCAGGAGATTCATGGCTGCAGCAGTAGGGAGGGGGAGCTCAATTCTTCCTCCTGTTCCATTTCCCCCCAGTTTAAATTAGCTCCTCAGCTGTTCTTTGCCCCAGAAGAGACAATATTACGGGTACCTTGTTTAACCCAAAGTGTGTTTCCCTCTCTGGGTGCATCCTGAGACACAGCACATAACCTCAGATCGTCAGTTTCCACGGAAATGCTTGAAACTTGCAAAGGCATAACTCAGTTAACAGCTCTGGTGTTCTGTGGGGCTTGTGCAGTTATAATGTCCTGAATAGATGGTTATTGTGCAAGTCTGGGCTGCAGGCAGCTGGCTAAGTCAGTTTGCTGAAAGATCAGACTCTTTGGATATCTTCTTACAAAGGCTTTCAAGTCCTTTTTCAATGGCAAGAATTTCAGATTTTGCTGTATTAAGTGAGACCAAGGTCCCTCTACAGTCTGGCACAGTGGTCAACAGTTTCCACTGAAGAGCTCTTCTCTTACAATCAGGGATCCAGGATATGCAGTTTCATGGATAATCAGTCATACCACTGTCAATAACATGATAATTACATTCAGTCACAAGAATGTCAGAACTTTCTGTGCTGAGTCAGACCAAGTCAGACCTTTACAGTCTGGCACCAAATAGTTTCCACTGGAGAGCTCTCGTACAATCAGGGATCCAAGATACTCAGTTCCATGCATAATCAAAATCATAGTCCTGTCTGCAGCATGGTAATAATTGCATCTTATTCAGGGGCATAGCCAGAAAATTTTGGTTGGTGGGGCATGGGGAAATCTGGGGGTGGGGGGGGCAATTTTATTACCACTACAGGCCTGATCTGATTTGATAGCACCAGCATGTTTACAGGCAACTTATTGTTACTGCAGTTGAGGAAGACTTCTGTTTAATTGTACAGACAGCATCCATAACACCACATCTAACCCCATGTTTCCCGTGACTTGTCAAAAGCCAGGTCTGGAAGGAAGTCAGGCCAAGTTCAGTGAATGTTTGGGTCTGGCACAGCAGAGGCTGAAGCATTCCTAATTTGTTTGTCTATTTAGCACATTTTAATGCTGCCTCTTCAAGGAACCTGCTGGAGGCGGCTTACAAAATTACAAATAATATTAACAAAACATTGGAAGGTATTAATTAAAATCCAGCATAAAAAACTCAGCCACTGCATGAAAAACATATGACCACTGAGCAGCTTAAAATAATAATCTTCAGATTAAATGATGCTAAAAGACCCTTTAATTAGAAGAAGAAGAAGAGATTGGATTTATACCCCGCCCTTCACTACCCAAAGGAGTCTCAGAGCGGCTTACAAACTGCTTCCCCTTCCCCTCCCCACAACAGACACCCTGTGAGGTAGGTGGGGCTGAGAGAGCTCTGACAGAAACTGCTCTTTTTCAAGGACAGCCATGCCAGAGTTGTGGCTTGCCCAAGGTCATCCAGCCAGGTGCAAGTGGAGGAGTGGGGAATCAAACCCGGTTCTCCCAGATTAGAGTCCGCGCACTTAACCACTACACCAAACTGGCTAATTAAAAGCTTAGGTGACTAGAAACGTTTTGGCCTGGTGCCTAAGAGAGCAGCGTATGCCTCAGGCGGAAGGGAAAGGATATTCCTGAAGCATTTACTCTTCCCATCGCCCCATGCAATGAAATGACGATGGTGTGAATCGGGGCTCATGAAGAGAAAAGTCCCCCTTCGTTCTTCAGCCACTAGCACTGGCTTTTCTCTCAAGTGAGTTAGCATAACTGAAACCCAGGCTTGAGTGTCACAGGAACGGAGACATAAGTGGCCTATGACTCAGACCAAATCTAGCTAAAATGAAATAAGATGAATCACTGTGGTTAGGTATTCTCTGTGACATATAAGTTATCCTCAGAGGCGGGAAAGAGCCACACAGCTGACCCCAAATATTTTATGTTAATGTTATGAATTGAGTGCCCAGAGGGGAGGACGGAAACAGGCCAAGTAAAAATATGTGGTTTCCTCTAAGTGTTTAGGAGCCTCTGTTACTAGATGGGTCAAAACGAGCAAGTAGTAGTTCCAGTATCAACCTGAATTATTATTATTTTTGTCGAAGGCTTTCACGGCCAGAGTTCATTAGTTGTTGTAGATTTTCCGGGCTGTATTGCCATGGTCTTGGCATTGTAGTACCTGATGTTTCACAGCTGCTGGCGAAACATCAGGTACTACAATGCCAAGACCACAGCCATACAGCCCAGAAAATCTACAACTACTGAATTCGTTTGTTTAGAAAATTTCTGCCACCTTTCCAGGGAAGCCTGCCCAGGGCAACTATTATCAAGATTGGCCAAGAGGAAAAAAAGTCCAATGATCCTAGCAAACTTTGGGGCCCTTTCTGTATATATGTCTTGACATACTGACAGATCATTCCTGC